CACCTCGAAATGTAATTTAGCTATTCCGTCTAGTGTACTTTTATCCACCGGTTTGATTCGCGTAATGGGCCAATCAGGTAAAGTAAAAGAATGTCGCGTTTTCTTGGACATCGGGAGTCAATCTCAATTCATCACCGAAAATTTGGGCAAGGCTTTGGAATTACATATTCATAGCATCGACACGTCAATCGTAGCAATACTCGATAAGAAAAAACATTCAGAAAATGCCGAACTTAAAATACAAAATCATTTTATTAAAAATCCACCGGCGCATCAAAATACCGCGCTGGGGTTGATTCTTAACGGCAGTTTTGGGCATTTAAGAAATTCCCGTCATCGCAATATTAGTTTGAATAAAATTATTTCTCATTTGTTTGAAGTTGAGACTGTCAAAACCGGAAGCAGGTTATTAAGCAAAGGTCTAAAAACCTCTGTTTTTGCAACCCCTTTTCAGAATACCACCGGCCATTCACCCGATGGTCGTTTCGTAATTAAACTCCTCTTTTCGGAAAAGTTGGGTCGTTCCACAGTCCCTTATTTTAAAAATCCACCTCAATTAAGAAATTCCCAAGAAGGGGTTCTCCAACCGTTATTGTTCACAGAGGGTCGTGACCATAAACTTACCAAGGGTTTTATTATCTTTCTAAGGAAGTACCTAGACCTTGTACACCTGAAGGTATTTAACGGAAATTCTTTAAATAATCCTAGTTACCTGCCACACAATTGTCTTTACAATCCCTACATTTCTTCCATTAAACTCTGCGAGGTTGTTGACCGTTCAAATTTTAGCTCAAACAATTTAAGCCTAAAAGACAACTCATTAACAGCCCCCGTTTTGCAGTCCGAACCTTTCACCATTCTAATTCAATTTCGTTTGCCCCAATTTATCAATACATGTGATATATCGAAGATGTACCGGTGCGGTTGGCTTCACTCTGACGACCGCAATTATCAAAAAATCATGTGGCTAGAATCTCCTGAACACAATCATTGTTTTTATGTCGATAAGGCATTGTTCGTTTCAAATTCTTTAGTCAAATTAATCGAGCCCAAAGACGACTTAAAGACCGTTCTAGCGAAGGCAAGTTCCAAGATAAGTAAATGGTCGTCTAATTGTCCTGATATACAAGAATGCGCTCAGGCTACATCCAACAGTAATCGTTTAATAACTGACAAACAATACAATAATAAAACTTTAGATATCAGGTGGGATAACCAAAAAGAATCTTTTTATATGCAGCATTCATTAGTCACGACGTCACAAATTTCGTAAGTACTAAGCGCAAGCTAAGCGAATTGCTATTAGGGAAAGAATTTCAGAATAAGCTAAAACCAGAAAATATCAAATGGACTTTAATTCCCCCGCGTGGGCCCAATTTTGGTGGTTTGTGGGTAGCGTGGATTAAATTCGTAAAAACTCACATCCAGCTCATTATCGGATACAACCATCTAACGTACGAGGTGATGCATGCGCTTTTGGTCAGGATTGAAGCTGTCCTGAATTCGCACCCTGTGACGCCGCTTTCCAGCGACGTTACGAAGTTAGCCGCACTGACTCCGGGACATTGTCTCGTTGGCCATCCATTGACAACTCCAATAGAAAAGGACCACACTCCTGTTAACATGCTTTCCCGTTGGCAATTGAGTGAATCCTGCCGCCAACATTTTTGGAAGCGCTGGTCCGTGGAATATCATACGACGCTGCAGGGGAGATCCAGGTGGCAAACCCTCTCAAGAAACGTTCCCGGCACTGGAGCGCTGGTACTACCGATCAAAGAAGACAACCGGCACCCGTTGCGGTGGCTATTACAACGAATAGTGCAAGTGCATCGCGGCAAAGACGATCTTGTTCGCGTAGTGCAGTGTCGAAATTGCATCATAAAGTGCGCCTATTCGGAAACGGCTTGTCCATTTACTAATTCGGGTTCTGGTTATCTACACACTATTGTAAATAAAGTTTGTCCACTCGTATTGTACCTGATAAAGAGTTGTAAATCTCTCTTTCAGGTGTATTCCAAGTACCTATAAATTACATTCATTCTTATTGTATGTGGGCAACTTGTTGTAAATCGCTATTCTTAGTTTACTGCCCATATTGCATAATCACTGTTAATCCATTCTATACAATGTTAATTGTAGTAAATCTTACTCATGTATTCTCATTTGAATTGATCATTATGATATCATGTTATCACTCTAACATTCTATTATTTGGTATTAAAACAATGTAATTGTTTCAAGGCGGGGGGTATGTTAGTGCCTCTGGCGGGGACCTGTTTCACCCCTCTCCACCCGTAAGGGTGGGAGCCAGGGCCACCACCACCTTGAAACACAGGGAATTTCATTCACTATTCATCATTGACTCTTCAAGCACTCTTCAAGCGGTTAACATAGTCTTTATATTCAATCTCTGGACCTAACGGTCATAATATCATACTCGCTCTAGAACACACTTGTTATTTATTTAATAAAACTATAAAACGACTGTCCGCTGCTCTTATTCATAATCCATCAAAACTTAACAAGCAGAAAGGTGCAGATTTAATATTGTTGGCAATGTGCTTAATAAAAATTTCGAAGAAAAAAGAACCTAAAGTAGGAATAATAATAAAATAATAATTTTCATGACAATATACTTATTGCAACCAGATACAGATTAATTCAGCGTAAATGACGAATTTGATCTGTCTTCATAGGCACCCCAAAGTACATTAAGTATTCTTATCCTCCTTGATTCACAGTAGAATTTAAGAAATATCATGAATCCAAGTGTGCATTCTTATGTTATTGTCAATTTTGAGTAGTTGAAAATTATTTGGAAAAAAATCCGAACAGAAGACAGACAGACACACGGAAACGGGGAACCTATTTCTTCCTACTCTAAGGGTCATGAAAGGTTGAGGAAACGTAAAAGTATACAGTCGCCCGACGGACTCGATTACAATACTTCCTTCATTTTGAGAGAATTATTTCTATGTAAATACATAGAATCGGTATATACTGATTATGCCAAAGCTTTCGACAGAGTAAATCATAGACTGCTTATTATGAAATTGCAAAAATTAGGTTTTAAGGATCTATCGATTAAATGGTTATCGTCTTTTCTATTGGGTAGAATGCAACAAGTTCGCATTGGGAATTGCTTTTCTTCTTCCTTTAATGTTCCGTCAGGTGTCCCGCAGGGCACCCATTGTGGTCCTATCCTTTTTTTATTATTTGTGAATGATGTGACTCAATGCTTTAATTATTCGAATTACTTACTATATGCTGATGACCTAAAGCTTTTTAAAAATATACGATCGGTTCAAGATGCAGTGCAACTTCAGGTAGACCTAGATTCACTTGGGGAATGGTGTGATAACAATTGGCTCCCTTTGAATATTAAAAAATGTTATGTTATATCATTTCTTAATTTAAAATCTCGTATTGAGTTTAACTATCAAATTAACTGTCATGCTGTTACTCGTGTTTTTGAGATAAAGGATTTGGGTGTGATATTTGACTCGGGTCTCACATTTAAGAGTCATTATGGTTATATTTTTAATAAATCCTTAAACATGTGGGGTTTCATTTGGCGTAATTGCAAAGATTTGTCAGCGTCAGCATTGAGAATTCTGTATTGTTCGTTAGTACGGTCACATTTGGAGTATTGCTCCTCTGTTTGGTGTCCAATTTATAATGTAGACTCTTTATTACTGGAAAAGGTTTAAAAGAAATTTCTTAGAACAATTGAGTTTAAGATGGGACATAGGCATGTTAGAGGTGAATATAGTTGGATAATGAGTTGTTTCAACATTCAGGAACTAGGCATACGGAGATGTATTAATGACGCGCATACACTTCACAACATTATCAATGGCCGTATTGATAATTCTGAATTACTAAGGAGATTGACATTTTTGGTACCGGCATCAGGAAGCTGCACTACTCGTAGCAGAAATATATTTAGAATTCGATTGGCAACATCAAATTTAGCAAAAAATCATCCTTTGCGAAGAATGATGGACGCTGCTAACCGCTATACAAATGATGATAAAGTTGAGATCTTCAATTCTTCAGTTCAGGAAGCAAATTTTAAAGTACTTCGGTTTTTAATGATATGAGGTGGTTATTAGTATACATGTATATAATAATATATATATATATATATATATATTTAGTTAATTATGTTTAAGAGTGTAATTATTTTTTTTTGTAAGTGGGGTTTTCCCGTTAATAAATAAACTAAACTAAACTAAACTACATATAAACTTTTATTTTAAATGTAATGCGTGACAGTGGCATTTTGTTTTGGCGTTTTTAAAACCACAGACTTTGTGGATATGTGATATTTTTGAAGTTCTAGTGTGACTCAAGGAATAAATGAATAATGTATTGTGGGTTGCCGCTAACCATAAATCACTTTCGTAATCTAGGCCGAATCACCCGGCAATTTTAATTTCAAGTTCTCTCCCCAACATTTAATATGTACTAGATTTTTGGTGCACCCATTTATTACTTCTTCAGCACCACTTTGAATATGTAAAAGAACTGAGAGTGTGGTCATTGTAACTGTTTTTTTAAGAACAACAAACAAAGTCAGAACCAGGAAAAAATTATGTTGGTAACGGAATACCAGTAATTTCAGTGATCAAATGGAAATTCGAGGATATCAGAAGGAATTTTTGTCTGAAAGAATATTTAGTGTACAAGATTTTGCCCGCGGTTTATTCCTCGTCCATATTAACATGCGTTTCTGAAGCTATTTGGAGACCGAGTTAATTGCTTTATGAGTATCATTTGTCCCTGGTAAACCTTCAACTACCTGCTATTGAGTACCTGTATGCACAAATATTTAATTCTGTTTCCAAATATCTTTAGAAACACTTTTCATAGGCAAGATGTAGGTAGGTAGCTGAAAATTTTCAAGATCTCATTGTTATACATACTCACAAGTGTAAAAAAAAATATATTTCTACTGGGCCTTTCTTATATCAGAATAATAAAAAAAAAAACAAAAATCAATTAATAATTTATAATTAGTTTTGATTGGAGAAAATTATAAACAAACAATGCAATGAACCAATTGCAACTACAAGATCTGTGCCTAATTAATTTACAACGATAATTCTTGTATAAACTTGAAATTGTACAATCCACGATATAATAAAAATCATCCGCTTATAAATAACACAATTTATACATATAAATATAAAAATAACGGCTTCAGTTCTTTTTAAATTCGATCCTTTCCACTTTCACATCATCACCAACAAGTTGATACACATACGTCACAACAGTGGTGTTCTGTATATCCATTAAAACAAAAGACGGCGTCACCGTACTGAAAAGCACCAATGAGAAAGTACACAACTTAAATCACGGTACTTACATATCCAAAGCATTATACGCCCCTGTCGCCGAACCTGGATTAATATAAAACTTATTTTCATGTTCATAGGCCTCAAACTTATGCGTATGACCCGAAATGAGAATATCGACGTCCAACTGTCTCTGAATTAACGCTAGGGACTCTGGATCACCCCACGGAACAACTTGGTGACCATGTAACAAACCTATGCGAAATTGTCCAACTGTGACAACTTTTTGTTCTGGGTAGTTTAAATTCTGAAACAAACGATGATAAGAAAGACTTTCGAGGCTTCCAAAAGGCTTACGTCATCAAAATCCCCCCTTACGACGTGTACATCACTGGCTAAAGTTTTCAAGTAATCATAGGATTCTTTTGTACATAAGTTTCCAGTACACAGGATGTGTTGTATTCGTCCTGGTAAAAGAAGTTTTTTAAACTTAGCAGGTAAGGTACTACATCTATGTGGAATGTGTAAATCACCCAAAACAAGAACCAACTGGAAAAGATTGAGGTTAGGTTTCACGTTATGGAACGGACACCTGAAAGAGGTGCGATGTTAATATAGTCACCATTTTTGGTCTATTGCGATCAAAACTATCGCTCTTCAATTGTAATTGTTTTAATTTAATAATTTTAAGGGGCGGTTTTTAACATCGACATTTGGTGATGTCGATATTGCAGGTGGCGATACTGCGACATTTTTGTTGTCGATTGGCAAATTCACGAAAAATAATTAAATAATTTATAAGTTTCGAGATTTTTCGGTGGTTATATAAATTCTGTCTAGTATTAATTTATAGGAGTTATATTTCATATAACAAGGATTTGATTATTTATTTTATTATATCGGTAACGCAGATCCCGACTGTATCAAGTTATGTGATAGTGGGAAAGATTCAAATTATGTTCTAAAAATGTGTAAAACTAATATAAACAAATAATTTGGTGTGTGATTGTTGTTAGAGTGTTAAAATTAGCACAATGGAATGCATTATACCGGGCACTAACATGAAAGGTAAATTTTCTGAAAGTGAGGTTATATGTATATTTACGTTCTTGTAGTTTTGGCTAAAGCCCTACAAGGATTATCAAGAGTGGGTGACGAACTGTTCATTGAAGCCAAAAGCGACAAATTTTCTCTAATTACTTTGAATTCGAGCAAGACTGTGTGCGCCAGGTTCAATTTTTTTGACACTTTTTTCAGTAGTTACGAAATCAACCAAGATGAGTTACAATCAGCCAGCAACGAAACAATCAGTTGTAAAGTGCATATGAAAATTTTCCTTCCATTATTTAAGGGCAACTTAGAGAAGAAGGTATTTTTTCCATCAATATTGTCACCATTTTTGAAAACAATTTTTAGCTTGATTATTTTAAACTGGAATACACAAGTGACAACGATTTTATAATTGTTAAAATGAAATATAAATGTGATGAGATTGTAATGGTGCACAAATTACGATTAATGGAGACTGAAATACTGTCAATAGGGGTTTTAACTGATTCAGGCTCTAACGACATAGCAGCATCTAGTTCTTTCTTTAGCCAGTTTTTAACAATGTTCAGTGGATCAGATGATGAAATCACGTTTGAAATCAACAAGTCAAAAATTGTAGCTCGAAATTATTGCCTAGGTAAGACTTGGAGTTTTTTTATTATTTTTTAATACATTATTATATATTAAAAAATTTAAGGAACGCCCTGTCGTCCAAAAATGATGCGTACTCAAATCAATTTAAATTCCACTGAGTTTATATTATATAGAATTATGAAGAACACTTCCATTAATTTTTCTTTAAAGCCGCTGCGCACCTTGGTACATTTTGCAGAAAATTTTAATTTGAGTGTAGATTTTAATTTTGAAGTTGGAGGAAAGTGAGTTGTGGTTGTTTGAAAAAACTGTAGACTAATTATTCTTTTAGACCATTGGCAATGGTTTTAAAAAATCCCACGTTTGAGGTTAATTTTATAGTGGCAACAATGGATCCATATACAGATTCAAGTTCTTCAGTAGCCACTACGTCAGCTCAAAAGAAACCAGACAATGTTGCGGATGATGTTTTTGAAGATATGGAAGCAGAGAATTGGGAAAACAACGATTTATCGAGTAAAGAAAGTAGTTTTGTTGAACTGATGAAAAAAGCCAAGAATGATACAGAGAAAGAGAATTTGGATATTGTGCCGAAGTCGCCCGAGTCTCCGCGAACCAAAAAAGCGAAGACGGTTTTCGGGCGTTGTTACGACCCGACTTTCCACGAAACGATTCTGGGGGAAGTTTTGGCTGCCAATAGTGACTCAGAATGAGGTGTAAGTAAAAACAAATTATATTAAATAATCGCTATATTTGATACAACATGAGATAAGAAGATTTGATATGTTGTATTTACATTTCGTTTAAATCAGATAAAAAAGTTAAACGGGATTTATCCAAGGGGTAGCGTCGTGGATGCGAATGAAGTTTAGTCTGCGGTCCGGTCCGGACACAGCTTCATCCCATCTGTGACGTCATTTGGCACTGAGAGCAACAACGTAAATTTCCCGCTTTAACTTAGTTATAGATAAATACTGTGTGAAAGATGCTTCAAAAAAGGCACATTTAAACATTCATACATAAAAATAGTGGTAAGTTAAGACATTCGTAAATATTCGTACTTTGTAAATAGTTTCTGTTTAAATTATATGCCATAGAATATCGAATTGAAGTTAAGTCTAACTTGTTATAAAATATATTTTTTCTATTTGTTATGTATATTATTTATATATTTTACATAAACAATTTTTATTATAAAATAAATATCATCTCACAACTGGCAACTTTAGACCTCACACGGCGGTACTTACGACGAGGCGGACCGCAGACTAGACGACCTATTCGTCGTAAGCACCATCTTTCGGAAACAACAGTGAACGATGAACACAGCAAATATATAAAAATATGAAGCACACTCAACCGATTCGTTAAACTCAAAATGTTTTGGCACATTTCGTATATACAGGGTGATTCATAATCATTGGTAGAAAATAGTTTGGGCTTTACCGATTACAAATCTCCCTCCCTAAATTTTAGAAAACGTTGAGGTACAGTTTTTTTCACCTAGGTTTTTCATACATTGATTCTATTTGTTTTCTATCAACAGTTGCAGTTGCAGCACCAAATCTCTGGCCAGAGACAGCACGGCCGCGGCGTTGTGTCTTTCGGCCATTTCTATTAAATCAAAGTGTTAGTATTTTCATACCGCATTGGTATGGTGGTGTCTCAATTTTATTTAATAGAGCTGAAATATCGATATATGATAAAAGTAGAAACATGTCCATTAAAGAAAAAAAGACAAATGAACATGTTTTGTAACATATTATTAATCTTGTCAATGAATGTAGGTTTCATCACGTGTCGATATCCATGCTGATGGTCGAAATTAAGTAAAATTTGAGACATCTGATGTTAACTTACCGTTAAAAAATTTTATAATGTCGGTAAAATCCATACAGTTCGACAAAATAATATCCCTATATGTTTCAAGTAGCGCTAGCGCTAGAAATAGCACGAAGTGACTAGACGCTACGTGTTGTGCGGCCCAGATTACCTCCCACGTAGCGTAAACATCCGGATAAACTAGTTCGCGTTTGAAGTCTAGTAAAAACCATCGATAACAGAAGTAGAAGTGTGTGTAATCGCCGTGAGAGTGCATTAGTTCGTACATTTCGGAATCAAGAATTTGGATGAGGGATCGCATGTTGGCAAAATGACAGTCCATTGCGTTGCCGTTGGGGAAATTTTCGACCATGCGTTCCATCAAGTGGCAGAAACATGCGTAGGTTAGGGATTCGTCGTTGAAAATGACTAGAAGGGGGGCCACCAGGTCGCACATGCCTTGCATGTAACCTATGTCGAGGTGCTCCCAGACGTATCTATAAACAGAAATTATATTTAAGTTTTATGTTTTCTTGTTAGGTGTACAGGGTTAGGCACTAATTGCTACGATGTATTTACTTTTTGAGGTTTTGTGACCTCTAGAGTATGAAAAATAGGTTTCCCGTTTCTATCTGTTTGTCGTCTGCATCAATTTTTGTTAGACGATAATTTAACTTTTAGATGTATGTTAAGAATATCGTGTAGATGGTGAAAGGCTAACCAAAAATTGTCTAACCATCTTCGCGAACAATTTATGACGTCACTTGAAAATTTGCAAGGTTACTGCTATTTAAATTTTTTAAAATAACATTCCTACACTTGTGGTTTATAAATCCACCTTGATTTTTTACCCTAAGCCTCAAAATTAACGCAACATTATAAGAAGAATGCGATCCAGTGGTCGTTTAGCTTAGTTGATAAAGCGTCGTATCTTTTTTTTTTAGACTATGACTGGCATTATCTATTTTTATTTTAAATTACATTCTGTTTTTGTGATCGTAATAATAATATATAAATAAGGCTTAGGAATATCGCGTGGTAGTAACATGATAAACTTACGTGCACATAACATTTCTCAACTTATCCAAGTTCTCCACCGTGAAATACCAATAATTCCGGTCACACCTTTGTACATCTTTCTCGATCCTGTGGAGATTCAATCCAAAAGTCTCCAGAAGTTCTTGCTAAAATTCCAAATATTATTCAAACTCAGAATACTTAATCAATACTTACACTATACACCCCTCCATTAGAACTAGCCGGCGAAACGCATGTCGACATAGCTGGCGAGGCAAGCCCATGGGTCTCTATGCAGGTATCCAACGACGAATTCTCCTCAGTCACCACATCCAAATCATTCCTGTGCCCATTCGCCTCTATCTCACTCCCCAAATTCCCCATATCCACACTAGCATTCGTCACTATCACATTATGAATGAAATCCTTCAACTGCTGCTGCTGGTATCGCTCCTCCTTCTCGTCCTGCTCCGGGTCGCTGTCATACTTAATCGTGTTCTGTCGCGTCCGCTCGGGCTTGCCTTCTTCCTCCACATTCGGCCCCGAATCCTCGTCGCTGATGTTATCCTCGAACACCTGCAATAACACTATTAGCATCGCGTTTGAGATAATCCTACCGGACTGCGCCAGGTCAAAAAACACTACTTCATTGCTTAAGTCGCGTTGGATCTGCGCCGGCACTTGCTCTCCGCTCATGCTTTCGCTGCTTAACTTCGCGATGGCGTTGGCCTGGGTCTCTTTGTCTCGTTGTCGCACGATGGCCTCCACTGCCAACCACTCAGACATGGTGTTTTCGTATGCTTGCTTGGTTTCTTCGCTCAGTTCCATTCGTTGTTGGGTGGTACTACCGAATTTGTAGTGGCCTAAGAGGTAGGGCCAGAGGTCTTTGCGCAGGTCGTGGGCGATGCCGCCGAAGTAGGTGAGACGGTACAGCTCGGCGTGGTCGGTCACGACGCCGTCGGTACAGAGCTCGTTCCATTTTTCCACGGTGATGCCTAGGATTGAGGATGTGATTAAAAAAACACAAGATAAAAGTTGTACTATTTCGAAAGCCAGTTTAAATTGCGGGGTTAAGTTTTTGGTCGTATCATAGAACGCCTCTATATGGTCACGAAACCATTCGCATGGTAATAGGATGTCTGAAATGGAACAATGACAAGCTAATTTGATTTCAAACGAATGTCTTGGAATTTGTTGAGATGTCCGTATGCGGTGAGAGCTAACGACGGTTAGGTATAAGATTACAGATTTGGAGGCAAAAGTGTTATGGCATCCCTCATATTACCATCCGCAAGTTGAATGTCTAATGTTTCATGTTTGGAATTGGCACTCTAAAATTCTTATAAACCGTTTTTTAACTTTGATTTAAATTTTACGCCAATTTATTAATCAATCTTACAGTGGCTTTAACAACTGTCACACGAACGTGCCTTCTAACCTTACTTTTCTTATTTTCTTGCTTATTGTTGCTTCCTGAAGAAATAATATTTACATTAGAAACAGTTCTTTTCAGAACTTTATGTGCATGTTCACTTAAACATGGCAATTCCATTGGCCAGAAAGAGTTTATTGTTGAGTTGTATTTTCGAAATGCACAGAAGCTAAACGGTGTGTGGCAGTACTCGCATCGAGCGGCTTGGGATGAATTTTGGGAAGAATTTCCTAACAACAACTATGCCCATTTTTGTAACTCAACATCAACTATGTCCAATTTTGCAACTCGTTACAATGATGCGTGACAAAGTCCCGAGAAAACTCATCTGTACAAAGAAAGGAGGGAAGTGGCAGTGCGAAAGATAAGAGAAATCAAAAAATTATTGGAAATGTTAGAGAGATAATGGATCAGGCCCGTACAACATTTAACATAGCAAATGGTATTAACGTATGGAACTTGCTGCTGGACCCTGGGATCTTTTGATCTTATTCGTGTAGACTTTGTTGTTGCCCTATTTCAAGAACACTATTTATCGAACATCTGTCAATAATTTGGAATAATTAAGTTGAGAATAACAGAGGAATTAGCGACATAAACAATAATGTAGAAATGTTAAGGTATGTGGTCGATGGAGTTCACCGAAGAGTTCACTTATGCTTACAACAAAATAGGCAACATTTTCAGCAGTTACTGTATTTTAATTTTATTTATTCAATAAAATTAATTAAACTTGGTATGAATTTTCCTTGTGACTACATACTAATTTTTTAAAAATCTTATTAAAAAGTGTCCCCTTTTTGCTTTTACATTCGTTATTTTTTGACATTTATGAACGTGGTTTAATCACTAACATGCTAAATCCTGTCTAAGGATGGTTCGATTACAAATTATGTGGATCGCCCGATATAAGGAGAACGAAATGAGACTGACGACAAAATTGATATAACAAGCGAATAAGTCAGAAATAGGTGAAGAGATATTAAGAAGTTTTGTGGACATCACTAATCGAATAAGAAATTAGACTATGTTGCGAGTGATGAAAAAAATTGGTCGAAGGTTATTTCGACAGAACTTCCCTTTCCTCTGAAATACAATAAAAAATCCAGCTTTTTCAAAAAATTATAAAATTTGATCATGCGAATTTTATTTTTTTTTTTTATGAGAATTTTATGAATTTAAATTAAAGATATGTATGTAGCGTTAAAGCAAATGTAGAGAAGCGTGCTGAGCGTACGTTCCAAATGAGTTTTTCTTTAACAAAATTTTGTGATGACGTCTTCAACATTTTTGCAACGACCCTTATATCACTTTGGATAGGTGGAGTGTAATACTGATGATAAGAGTATTGGATTCCCAAATTTTCGTTCTCGATTTAATCAGAAAAATAAATTGACTCTTTCATTAATTTTTATGAGTCACCCTGTATAAGAAATTTAAAAAGTTTTAATGCAATGATAAATCACAAGTATAGACTCATCATATTGTTACGAAATAAACCCATACGCCGCCCCGGTACGACGCCTATGTGTTCCCGAGTTTTGTGGTATTTACGGCGATAATGATGCATCGTGGATGACGTCATCCAGGCAGCATTCGCATAAAAACAAGCCTGGAGCGGTTTTAAGTCTCGATTGGGGCGTCCAGAAAACGCTCGAAGCGGTGTTCGCTAAAGCAATGGAGCTATGGATTCCAGAAAGATTTATGTGAGGGGATAAACGAATAAATTTTGCTTAACGATTTACCATGATTACGATAACCTTAAAAGATTTCACAGCATTCGGTTTCGCAGTTTCAAAGTTATATTGCAAAATATTGTTATGCAATTTTGAATTTTTTTTATTTCAAATTTTGGAGATGACGTCATCCTATTGGTGGTGGGGACGATTAGCCAAATTTTAGTTATTATTTAACAATCTACATGATATTTCTAATATACTCGTAGGTATATACACAATTTGACAACAATCGCTCCAGTAGTTTCTGAGATTACTTGTCTAATAAAAATGGATACAGACAGACAGACGGAAACGGGAGACCACTTTTTTCGTCCCTAGAGGTCATGATACATCGAGAAAATATGAAAGTGGCAATTCGGCTAATGGACTCCATTACTATACTTCCTTAGCTACGCTCGGGGAGTAAAAATTGGTCTAAGGTTAATTCGACAGAACTTCTCTCGCTTCAGTGGTGTAAATAACAGTTTCAATTCCAAGGGAGCGCGGTCTGCACAAGTGCTGACAATATGAAATGTATTTAAAGTAGATAGCCAACGGGAAACAATGCATTCTTAATTTCTAGGATTTGTTTAACTTCGACTGTTTATGTATAATTCGAAAGAATTTGACCATCCCGCGTTCATATCGTATCAGTGCCGACTTCAAAGTATGCACTTGTGTTAAATTGAAATTTGATTGATTTTGTCATCTCAGCACACTCGAATTTCCCCCAAAAATTATAGATAATAACAGGAATAGTACATGTAAAATACAAAAAAAAAAATCCATGCCGTATTCGAACGTTCGCCATTCATAACCTTATGACAACATGCTCATACAGTTTCGATCTTGAGGCCTCAGGGAAAATCTGAAGTCAGATTCATAAGGAACAAGTACAGAGGACTTACAACACTTCCTTAGCATTGCCAACTGTTTTGTGACTTTTTAAATGCATTTTCAGTAAATTTGTAGGCAAAACTTAGTAACCAAATGGATTCTCGACAGCGGTCTACACCTAATTTACCAAAATAATGAAACTTTATTTAGACACTACCAAAGGGCCAAAATTTTATTACATTAGTTTACTGAAAACTGTAAGCGTTAGGCTGTCGTTTTACGATATAGTAGAAATAATGCAAAAAGATGGAATTCCACCGTATTTAATAAAAATCGTCAAAAGTGTAGAAATTATTCCTTAACCTGTTATATCGGGTGTTCAATTAAAACAGTTGTCAAGTTAACTTTGACTTTTTGTAAACGTTGTGAAGTGTGTCAACAATTAACCTAAAATTTAACCGATGGCAGCTGACAACGCGGAAATGTCAATTGTATAGAGCGGTATGAATTAATAAAACACTTATGTTTTTCTCTTCTATCAAAAAAGCAACGCCAACTTGATGACTTTTTTAATTGAATAACCTTTGTGTTCAGAGATACATATTTTTCACAGGATTTGATGTAAATTTAATCATTCATTAAGATTTGACTAAGTTGAAATGAGACTATTTAACCTGAATTTTTACCACATTGACAATTGCGGCTAAAGCCACGTTCCTGAATAGAGCTTTATAACACGCAAGTTTTATCGACTACTGTAAAAACAGGTTTTTTTATTATGGAAACAAACATTCTGAGTTATTTGAAGTGTTGTGTAGAATATTTAACATTTGTTATTACGCGTTGACACGTGACAAGCATGTTGGCATCCAAAAATAGTGCAGATAATGTCGTGATAATCTAGAAACGGATTTTTTTTAATGTGTAAATGTTCATATATGAAAGTAGTTTTGTGGTATTTTCTGATAAATGTATCACATATCACTAAGTAGACATGTAATATAATATTTTTGGCATGTTGCAAAAATACAATATCAAGAATTACATTTTCTGTATAAAACAATTTCGACTCCATTATGTTTTTCAATATCCTTTTTGCAGTATATGTATTATTATGATTAATTAATAAGTACGTTATTGCGCACTAAATGTAATTTGAATCATGCAGGATGGTGGCGATCAAAATAATGTAGGAAGCTTTTCTTTTTCTAGTGTAACTTTCAAATTTGTATTAACGTGTAAAGTTATTGTTAATGGATACCTATTCAATTAAGTCCAGTTTACACAACTAAATTTATTGAAAAAATCCTTTCAAGAGGTGTACTACTTTGTTTTATCCACCACTGTATATAAGGTGATGAAATTATATTTTATATTTTAAGCAAAAACATAATATACCTATGTATGTACTCTGAAATTTTATTTAATAAATGCAAGTGATGTAACTTTCAAACAAATTAAAGAATGCAAACCAAATGAAATCAAGTCTTTCATAGCTAGAGTCAATAACAGAAAGACGTTTTCCGGGTTTGGACCGTGTCAAATTTGAAAAGGATTTCTAAGTTTCGCCCAATTTCGTAAGATATATCTTGGGAACTGAAGGACGAGAAGTTTAGAAGATATGTATCTTAGGTGTCATTTTCTACACGGTTTAAATCCGGAAAACGTCATGTTTGAAAAATACAGTGTAAAAGCATGGTCATATTTAAAAAAATATGAATTCTGACATATTTATTCAAAGATGGAGGTGATTTAAATTTGCAATTTGTCGGTTATCTTTTAATAATCACATAGGACATATGTTTATTTTATAACATTTTCAATTGTAACTATCGGGTGTCTAAAAACCAATAAAATAGGACGCAGCCCTCTTGGCCAGATGTTTATTAATTAGACACCCGATATTAGTAAGCTTTCTTTTGATACCAAATTTATTGCGGTTTGTTGCAGTAGTTTTTTAAGAACTGGGATAAAACTCAACAAACTTGTTATTAAAAGAAATCATACTTGGAGAAAAGCTATCGCAATTTAATGATCTATTTAAAGTCCGTTAAAAAATATAAGTTCCATTTTAAAAAATTATAGATTTGCCTCACGCTGATGCCATATATGCGAGATATTTGCAGTGCATTAAACTAAGCTTCCCTCTTCAAGAGGAAGAAAACTTTTGTCTTTGCCATTACTATTAAAGCACTAGCTGTTGATTTCAGTTGGTTGAGAAAAGCTTTTAGTTAAAAAATTATCTGCATATGAACGTTGCAAAATTTACGATCAACAAATCGTGTTTCAATAGAAGTGGCGAAGGCTATATGTAAGTGGTCTACATATAAAATAAAAAAATGTGTTTATTATTTCGAAATCCAGTAAACTAGTACGTTAACTGCGCTTATCGCATATGCGTCATATCATTTCATGTGTTATTGTGCTAAAAATATACCAGATATGAAATAATTAAATCAAAATTATCAAAACAGACAAAAAAAGTTACTGGATGTATTTAGTTCAAAAACTTTTATAAACTATAACCAATCAATAATCACTGTTAAGCATAAAAAATCATGGTTTTAAAAATTTGAAACAGGAATGAAAAGCGAGGTATAGTTTTATCTTCAGTACTTCTTTCCTTGTTCTTAAATTTACACTGCATAATAATGTAATAAATGAACATTATATAAGTGTAATTATGTATGTCTAAGGGTCTTTTATATGATGATATTTGTGTTGAAATTATTTGCCTAATTTGTCTGGAAAAAAATGCTATATAAAACTGAATTAGCATTTTTAACAAAAATTATGCAAATTTGTCATTTGCCAAAAATAACATTATCATAACCTAAAAATTTGTAAATTAGTAATATCGAAAGGAAACAAAATTCCTATCAAATGCTTTTGATCTAAATCTTTGTAGTGACACCAACAAGAAAACAACGTAAGTTAACTATGAGCCAGAGTTCGTTTGTGTGATTTTTGATAACAGAATTTTTACTGTATGTATGCAACAATTGGCCCTTAATAAGTAGCTAACTTGAACTTGGGATCAGTTTAAAAAAAATTACCATGGATAACTATTGGTGCTTGAAAAAAGATGGAGTCACAGCGCATGCGTTTTTGATCTTTACATACAATAATAATAAGTACATTACCATCACTAGCGCCCTCTCCATTGACTATCTTGCTATTAACTAATCCGCTAAGGTGCGTCCTAACCGTCGACAAATGACGACAGTATGCCAGCCACCCATAGAAAGCCCTAGATATAATTTGACGTTTCATAGAATCACAGACTGCTTGAATGCAAATACTCGGCGGACTATCCGGAGCATTTTGATCTATGCTGAAGCTTTTAGTGGAACTTTCTGAACTAGTGCTAGTACTAGGTAATTGAACTCTAGATTTGGGCGGCAAGGCAATGTGCGTATCCATCAGTTCGTTTTGTTTAACTAAAACAAACATACTTAATATGGGCAAAAACCACGTAATAATTATACTGACGTATATCTTTGTGGGTCGTGTTATCGGCGATTCGAAAAACGTAGTCTTTAGTAGTCTCCTCAGTTTCGGAGAGAGCCGGAAGGGGGCGCCTCCGTTTGTTCGAACAGCGTTGTGACCACAAAGGGGGGTCAAGGCGTCCTCGAGGTAGGAGACCGGTTTCTATGCAGCTAAGGAAAGCCAACATGTGGCCCCCTTTTGGGAAATGAATAGGGGGGCGCTGGACGCCATCTTGGCCTACTAGGATCACGGTGCCGCCGGTTTCACTGTCTTGGTGGCAGTGGACGTAGACTATTTCGTCTAAACGAACTTGGAGAGCGTAGTCCCAGAAAACACTGAAAAGAAAAGAAAATGTGTTAAGGGTAAAATGAATTCTTTATAAGTGAAAATGTGTGTTTATTAATATTCACGTAATTTAAAATGCATCAGCTTTGCCTCAGTGGAAGGGATCCACTTGATAATCTAGGGGCGCCAGCAAGTTGTTAGATAAATGTCATTCCCCTTGAATCAATGAAGTCATGCTATTAACATAAAAGATGGTAACTTACGGCTAGTTATTAAGTATTCCGAATAGAGAATTAGGCAAATTATCAGAATTTGTGACGTCACACGACAAAAATGAGCTCGTATTTGATGCTGACCCACACAGGTCTTCAGCAATATTACATTTCGCCCTTTAGGTCCAAACATGAGTAAACTCAAGTAGGTATGTAAATGGAGCCTAAAGAACAATTTCTTCAGTCCTACTGACCTTTAGACGTAAACGTTATTATTCAAGTTACGATCAATGCCATAAAAATACCCTTGATGTTGTTATGAACGTTCTATACAACGAGTTCGACTTCAAAACATGTCAGACTTTCGTCTGAATAGGCGACAACGGAACAACAGCGACATAAAAACATTTATCCGGCTTTGAGATCCCCCTTTCTGGAACACGTCACATTAATACGGCTCTAATCTCCTCTACAACTTGGGCGAATAGCGATTCCATCCAAGGCCGTAGGAACGATATTTTACGATAAGACTTTCTGGGAATTTTCCCCTGTGTATCAACCCAGTAACAGAATCGGAACTTTTCAACTAATGTTCTAAATTCCCCACTCCTAACGTGCTGGGGACGAAACAGAACTCTAAATCGACTATGGTTTGTATGAAATTGTAACGTTTGCCTCAATATTTGACGAACTAGCAGACATGTGATTGAATAAATTAGGCCAATTTTTAAGGCAGTAGCTTTTTTTTGGGGGTATTATTTGACGCTGAATGGCCAACTTGGATGCCCAATAGTCGGAATTTTTTGCTGTAAGTTGACACTATTATCTTTTATAATAAGTAATATATTTTGTATATTTTTGGCGAATTCACGTTTCATGACCTTTAGGATATGAAACTGTAGGTCTGCCATTTTGGTCTGTTTGTTTTGTGTTGGCGACATTATTAGGCAGATAATCCCAGAAACTACGGAAGTGAGTGTTGTGAAATTTGATGACGTCACAATTTGGCTGAGTAAATCTGTGAATTTAAAGTTTCGTGCTTCTATACTTCCGAGCAGGGGCGGCTTGTCCTATGAGGCAGGTGAGGCAGTGCCTCACCAATGAATTTTACGCCTTATTAGGATTTTTATTATTTTATACGGACACATTTCGGCCAATAATTTGTGTCTTTTTTCTAAAATTTTAAAAATAAATATAGAAAATTATATTCTTATTTTTATCTCGGTAGGTACTCGTTGCTCCCTTAATTAAACAGCGCGCTTAAACACTCGGCACAACATGTATTTTGTGACGCGAATGAGGCCGACTCGAAGCTTGCCTCTACAGCATATATAGAAATCATGTCGTTAATAGGCAAGCAACCTGCAATACACTTATAAGCGGTATGAGTTGAAAAAAGACAAAATTGAGGCTAGCCTCATTTCCGTGCTTGCAAAAGAGATGGACAACTATAATATTTGCGCGCGGGGAACGTGCGATTGCAATGCAGTCTGCATTCGCAGGAGTATTCAAAATTAGGCCGTTGATTGTTTTGCCACAAATCTGTGTGTGTATAAATTGATTCAAAATTTCGGTAACAGAATTTTGTCTTAAAAGTGCCTACGTTTGCGTGGGTCGCGTTAGTGCTTTGTGCTTGTCATAATTTGATTTCGGTAATCGTTATTTAAGATTACGAGTAAATCGGAATTTTTCTCTACTAACGTTAAATGACAATGGCAGTTCTGTTTTTTCTACTTTCACGTATGATGATAAATTGTATGTAGTTAAGGAATTAAAACCGCCGGTTCCTGATTTGAGTAAATCGTTAATTGATCCATAAAAAAAATTTAAAATAAATTCGTATTTATATTTTATATTTTTTTCATTTTGTTTTTTGTTATAAATCAAATTAGCTTTATTTTATGTTGTATTTGATCTTTTTCGATATGTTTCCTTTAAAGTTTATTTTAATTTTGTTTTTTGTTAGAAGTTATATTAGTTTTTTCTGACCACGCTTCCCTTTCCTTTTGTCCTGTCATTCTCATCCTTTCCTTGCAAGACCTCCTTACACCTTCTTGGTTCTTTGTGGACAGTTAAATGAGTTTACAAATTTGTTTATTTGACTAAATAGAAAATATTTAAGTAATCTTGATTTATTTATATTTTAGAGCGTTTTGTGCTGTGCCTCATCAATTTTTCAAGTCATGAGCCGCCCCTGCTTCCGAGTCTACTTTTTGTTTTAGACATTTAACAAAATTACATTAACTTAGAAACTATAAAACGGAATACTGACTGCTGTCATATCCTACATCCCTTTTCACTAGTAACAATCATCATATCACCCACCTTTTGTCTTGCACCTCATCCGTAAACCCATTCATCAACTGATTAGGCGTCCATTTAATCGTCAACCCACTCGCTGTCTGATGAAGACTCAAATACCCGGGCATCGGTTGCGAAACGTCGGCATTGACCGGCAGGACCAACACGTTGTTTTTCCCAAAAAGAAGCGTAGCTCTGGAATTCTGATGAAGGCTCTCTACGTAATCTTTTGCTAAATGCTGCGTAGTTGTTCGATTAGTTATCGAATCCTCGGAACTGGCATTCAGGGAACGGCGGAAATTGAGGATGGGGCGGCGAACCGGGGGCGGCGTCGAGTGACTACTTGAAATTCTATGCCGCTGGACCTGTTTTTAACAAAGACGTTTCCTTTCGGTGAATACCGTGGCGATCACGTACAAACTGGCTCGTAGGCGGCAGTGACACTTGCGACGTAGTTAAATTTTTTAGAGCCGACTGCGAACTCAGTTTTATTTGCAACAAAAACGTTAATTAATTATTTTTTAACTTCATTTGTTCTGTAAACAATACTCGCTGGAAGTGTGTTAATTTGTTTTTGGTGAATAAACACTACGAATAAATATTAATTAATTCGGTGAAATTTTTTGAAGGTCTCTCGTCGCAATTACGAAAAATTGAAAGTATACACTGTACAAACAATAATAAAAATGTTTTATGCAGATTTTTTTTGCAGTTTGCTTACCAGTTCATCAGCCGGCGGGTCGGTCCAGAAATGGTCTGGGGTTTTGGTCCTGGAATAATCCAGAGCACAGGGTCCTACAAGTAAGGAGCTCAAGATACTTCCATAGTCCGGATCTGCTACTAGGGCGTCCTTGTCGTAATATTTATTTGCGTTTGAAACCAAGTAGTCTATGATTTTCGCCAATTGTTTTTCAAACAGGGCCAACCTGATCCACAAATATTTAGGAAGCGGGGTCGACGGTAAAGAATGATTTTTCTTCAGCGTTGGCTTTGTTAAGCTCTCGCTGCTACTAGAAGACCTCCTGTTGGGATCAGAATTTTCAATTTCTTGTACCTTTTTCGAGATTATCGCCGCCTCCCTGCTATGTTTGGCAATTTTGTGTAAAAGGGCTGTGGTTGAGGACGTTTTGAAAAGGCCCAGAGCGCGCCTTCTTAGACCTTGATTAAAAAAAATAATATAAATTTGAAAAATATTTTTGGACCCACCTTGTGACAAACACGCCTCAACCGCTGCACATAATGACGTAACCGAACCGCTTTCTTCATGTACGAATTTTCTAGTGACTGACTCCTCCATCACCTGTTTCACTTCTTTTTTTACGGCGGCAATGAGACGCCCTTTGTATTCGTTTTCTAAAAGTGAAAAATGAATATAAGTTAATTTAATTTTGTTTTGTTACCGTTATTTAGAGACATTCTTGCACTGATTGCTGTATGCTTTGACCACTGATAAGAAAAAAATAAAGGAAATTGTGCGATAACGTATAATTAATTTGATTGTGGCAGAATCCGCCACGTCCGTACCGTCTCCATCAAAATTTTTGACTACCTTGAAAGAAAATCGATCGCGGAAAATGCTACATTTGCGCAAGTTCAGGTAGAAAGTGATTTATTTTGTTGTGTAAATACCCACGGGTACGCCACTGGAACCATCAATTTTCATCAGACAGGGGTCTGTGACCTCGGGTTCGCGACTCAGCTAAACTCGTTTTTTATAAAAATATTTTGTTCGTATCTTCTTCTACTTCAGAAATTACAGAATCGTCAAAACTATGTTTTAAATCACTCAAATCCGATTTTTTTATATGTTTGTCAATAAATTGACAAAAAAAACAAAAAATTAAAAAGTGAGGTGGCAGCACTATCGCCACAGCTATCGCTTTTCCGCCGTTTGCTTTGACGTATGTCATTCGTACGCATTTGAGGTTAGTAGATGCGTACGTGTGATTGAGCCCCCTTGTGTTGTGAAGACAACGAGTTTGCCCCTACTAATGTCAGAAAACAACAGAGCAGAAGAAATTCTGAAAGGTTTTCAAGTGTGAGTAGTTTTGACAGTTGCAGAATATGACATTTGACACCGTTTTTTTTTTAGAAATTGGATTTGTCTGCGCGACGCCGACGGCGGCACGATTTTCTGGCAAGGTTCTGAAGATTTGAGCTATCCAAACGTAGAACATGAAGCTCACGTACCTAAAAACATCCTCAAATGTCGTGCAGTATCTCGAGAGTTTAATTTTAGTTCCAAAGAGCAAATCGAAAAGTTTCGTCTGGAGCAGGTACTGTTGTTTATCAAGACAAGCGGTATTTTTAAGTTTGTTTTGCAGAAAGTACTGTTTAAAGGACGGTGCCTCGAAGAGTGGTACTTTGAATTTGGTTTTGTTATGCCAGAATCGACAAATACATGGCAATCGATCATGGAAGCGGCGCCAGAATCGGAAATGATGCCGGCATCCGTCCTAAAGTAAGTCTCATTTGTGCCCTACATTGTTTACATTATCTATTTCAGTGGCAACGTTGTCATCGAAACTAAGTTCTACGACGACGATCTACTTATTTCCACGTCAAGAGTGAGATTATTCTATGTTTAAAATGCAATAACACCACATAAGGGACCATTTTGTGTTTGTGGCCTATTGTTGCGTAAATTGCTTTTGTTACCTTTTATTTTGTGATAATACACGCATTTACTTTAATACACTTTCCAATAAAAGCTGTGTTTTATTTCAAACAAAAGGGGGTTGAAACTGGGTCATATCCGGCGCATGTGCAGTTGAGTGGGTGGGGATAGAAAAAAAACATTAATGGCAACCCTGTGGTAAATTCAAGGGTTTGAAATTGCGATTTTCGGGATTATTTACTTTGTTAGGTGAGTGCGGGGGTAGTTTTGGTGCAGAAAAATATTTGCTAATTTTTAGCAACTGCAATCTGGAAATGGAACCACCAGGGTTGGAACCGGGAATGGATTACCCCAAAAACCCTCTTTTGTGTCCCATTTGCCACGATTATTTTACCGAACCGTGCATTTTGAGTTGCTACCATACATTTTGTGGACGATGTCTAAGGGGGCGCGAACAGGACCGGCGTCTGGTTTGCCCGTTTTGCAGGTCCGTATTATCTAAATTTTTTTAGATGTTATACATAAAAGTTGTAGGCAACCAACTTTACTGAAAGATGGGTCAATGCTCCCACCTCCAGACACCTTAATGCGACAACTTATCGATATTGCAAATAGCGAAAATCCTCCTTGTTCCAATTGTGACAAGAGGGATAGAGCCAATATGTACTATTGCAATACCTGCGGTAATTGTCAAATAAGTAGCAGTCAATAATGACATTTATGTTTACATTATGTCATGAGTCAAAATTGTGCATAAACTGACATTGGCCTACATCATCTGTGTCAAATCTATGTCACCATGAATGTCAAACTGACGCCTAAGTTTTAATTGGCAAAATCGGGTTCGTTTTTTTGTAGGACAAGCGTTGTGTTCACACTGCCGAGACAATACCCATCGGGCCAAAATGTTCGCTGCCCATGACGTGGTCCATATGACCAAATGTACCAAAGAGCCGAAAAGGGTGAGTCCTTACTTATGGTGAACTTTGTCATATAAGTTTCATTACCGTTCCATCGTATTTTTGATTTGACGTACCTACACTGTGTGGCGCCCTTTATGGTTGTCATTGTCATTAAATTAAATTAAATACAAATTTTTCAAGGTGTAAATTATTTACATCAAAGGGCGCCACATTACAAATTTTCGTTGCAGTTTCTTTCATTAATTCAAGTTATTGGCTGTGGTGTTTACTCACTCCGTCTGCCTTCTATTTTGGCGGTTTCAGTGTCCTCAACATGGCGAACAATACATCATGTACTCAGCTCTCCAGAACTCGATGCTCTGCGTCAATTGTTTCCGAGATTTGCCGAACGAAATCCGAGCTCAGTGTGTCGACATCGACACTGCGCATATTCAAGCAGCTAAAAGACTAGAAAGGGGTCAGAACGCTATAATGGATTTGCAGGTGAATTCCCTAACTGTGTACATTTTTGCAGCGATTTTTGTTCTATTTTGGATTTGTTTGGTTTCTTCTTTTATTTCGTCTTCAATTTTACTTTCAGCTTTCGTTCTTTTTTCGCATCGCCATCACTTTAATCTATACTTGATTTATTAGACTTCAGTAAGAGACGGGATAATAGCCCTGAAGGGGCTAATGGATGAGCTAAGACGTAATATGGATAGTGAGAAGCATACGATTAACACGTTTTGTCAAGGCATGCAAGAAGCTATGGCTAAGACGCATGCTGCTATGATTATGGAGGTTCAGAGGCAGTTTGAGAGCAAGGAGAGGATTTATAGAAGTCAGCTTCTAGTTCTGGGTGAGTAGTAGGCGATAGATTTTTGTAGATGGTTTTGATTTGGAGGTTCTTCTAGGTACTGTCATGCCAGTTCTGCAGCTCCATTTAGTTTTATGCACTACATTTACTGCCGCTGCTAATAAATACCAGTTCCTGGAGTTGTGCCCTTCACTGATTGAACGTCTAGCTGCTGTAGGACAACTTAGTCAACCAGTTCGCTCTTTACAAAGTTCCAACATTAAGACTAATTATAGAAGTGAATTTGCTCAATGTTTGGAACCTTGGATTGGGCCGGCAGCTGTGAGTCAGCACCAAACAGAACTGGCAGCAGGTAAACAGAATTTCTTGTAGTCGAACGTAAAATAGTTCATGATGTCGCCTATTTATAAAAATAATATAAATTGAATAGTCCATTTCAGCAAATCAGAGACAGTGTGATAACCCAAACTTCCCGCCTCAAAAATTGACCTTGAAACAGTTTGAAAGGCCCGCGAAAAATTCAAAAATTCAAAGTTTGGCCTTGGCTATGATCGTCTAACAAATAGGAACCTACGTTGTGTTTTTTTTTTTTTTTGTTTTTGAAAAATGGCGGGAAGACGTTCTTTCATACAAGTGCATACACTGTCGAGAGCGCAAGAAATAATAGACAAAAATTGTTTTGGAGGGGGGGAAACGACACCACCCTCACAGGGGGAAATACGCTGCGAAGATTTACCCCTCAGCGCAAAAACCCCCTTGGTTTTATTCCCGGACGACATTTTATTACATTTCAGACCCTTAAGATATGTGAAAGAAAAACACTCGCGAATTGACTGAAAGAAAAACACTCGCGAATTGACTGGAAGAAAAACACTCGCGAATTTACAGACATACACATATGAAAAACGAACAAACGGAAATTCTGTACATCTGTTTGGAATCAATGCAAATATTTGAATATCACAAATTTAATAAAACAAAGCAAAAACTGAATCAAGTAACTGGATGCAAATACACAAGTTATTACAGGCGTGTGGCGGCCGATCTTCTTTCCTTTTTTTTTTTTGTTACGGCAGTTAACAGGAGCACAAGAAAAGTACCCCTGGAGCGTTGTGACATAAGCGGAGTCTGAGCTACCGGTCTGGAACTGTTCTCCCCCCGCGACGGTGATTCTATCTATCGCAAAGCCTACCCCACACGCATATCCCATGACGAACTTTGCCCTGCGGAACTAGGCCATTACGGTCGTCCAACCCGCAAGAGATCTAGGCTATGTACAGGAGCCTAGAAATTTACAACATCGGCGGCCGCCCCTGAATCTATCCAAACCTGTGGACTTGTACAGGTGGCGCGATAAATCTCGCCAGCTCGACTAGGAACCAAACCTCGCTTCTGCCACGTTTTCTGTGTCATTTAACCTCAATTCCATTTTAAAACATTCAATCTCTTACAACTCTGATGTTAACAACAACTGAACAAGTGTTAAAGGTTCAAAGAGCAATAAACAACATTTAAATTCGCCATACAATCTTGTGAAATCTTAAACAACAAATAATTCTTATGTGGGATTAAAGTTGGACATCAAATAATTTATATGATAGAAAACATTCATCAACAAAGTATTTACAAAACAAAACTTAGCAAGGATTTATGAGACGAAAGATCTGGTGTGAAATAAACTTGTACAAATAGAAATGTTATGTGAGGTTAGAACTGTAGAACATGAAATTTACGTTCAATTAAATTTATACAACAAATAAAATTACTGAGGTTAAGATTGTGAGATTAAGAAATATAGTACGATGTGAAAAATTGCAGAGTTAACATAATTTACAGGAGATTAATATTTGCCACACTTTATCAACAGTTCAAACAAGGAGTTTACATTATGCCAAATAATATCATGATCTAAATGATTGGTTACTTCAAAAATAATTTACTTTGAGAAGTTAAAATACTACGAACTGGTTACCCCAACAAAACACATAATAAACAAACACAAAAATATCCAATCATCGCTCCGAGGGAAAAAGCGTCTCGGTGATGTAAAAATCCAAAATCGTTGCGAGGAAAAAGCGTCTCGGTAATGTAAATTTTCTGTAGCGTTGGGGGCATGCCTTAATTAATTAATCAATCTGGCGTTGCGAAACATGCCCCGATGAATTAATCGTGATAACGATGATAACCACCTGAGGGGAGAAAATATCATAACCCCCCGCCAGTCCGCAGTATAATGAACTTGTTTAACTGCCGTAAATGAACTATTAGCAATCTTGTGTGAAGAATTTAGAAGTGTTATAATGTAACACTTACGTATATGCATCCAGAGACCTATTCGTAATTAAACATAAGGTGTTTTTCCTGACTAAGTGAATTTCATGAAATCTTCTAGCAAATGGTTAATTTAAATAATCCTAATTGTTAAATTGTGTTTGCTCTAGCTGAGTATTAAGAAAAGGTAGCTTGATTTGTGAATTTTCAAACAAAGAACAGATTCACAACACGTGTTCGCGTCCGACCGGAAGTCTGCAATTTTCGATTAAAAGGGCGCAAGAATTTACCGCGCGGGTTGGGGACAACTGTATCAGTATGAAAAATACGTTTGATCGTCGTTAAACAAAGGCTTCCTCCCGTTTTATTAACTACCAAACCAACTAATTTAAACCTAGCTCTTACCACGTGGTTACACTTACACGAAACACACCAGAATGACCCATTCTACCGCCATGCCGCTTTTCTACCAACCCTCTAACTGAAATTACCCTAGCGCTACGTGCTGCCATCTAACCCAAAGATCATGCAACTAACTCCTAAGCGCTACGTGCATTAGACCATCCATGCATATTTGGTTGCCTATGTTTAAGGAGTTCCTTTTCGTGATTGAACCTTTTTTTTTCAAATTCAAATTATTCAAATGCGATTTCGCGCCGCTGTCAATTAATTTCAGCGCGAAAACTTTGATTTAAATTCGGTCACCACAGTCGCCCCCAAGTGTTTTCCGAGTGAAGCTTGCGAAACGAGCGGAGACACTTCCTTCTTGGTGGTGGCCGTTCGTGTTCTTTGACGAAAATGTTCCAGTTCTCCTCGAAGCGTTTGTCGGGTCCATGAAAAGAGAAAAATGTTAGAACAGTTCCACTCAGATTCGTGTTGGAGAGAAAAATGACATAATTACAAATAAATGAACAAGTGGTAACGGGATCAGTCACATCATAGTCGTCTCCACCATGGTTGTGTTTTCCTGCGGAAAAACTTTATTCTCAACAAAGCTAGTTGAAAGCGCCCCCTTGTTTGTCAACCCGCAAGTTAACGTGCTGAAAAAAAAACAGGAACAGGATCGTTTGGCTTCGCGTCGAACACAAGATTTCTGTTGACAGCTACACCTAGTTAGAAGAAGAAAGAGAACGTCAGCTGACACTCAGATGATGTGATTCCTCTTGGTGAGGAAACCCTACGCCCCCCTGAACTCTGCTTGGGTGACCTGGAGAGAAAAGGTGACATCTATGACTAAGACTGGATTAAATGGACAAAATGCTCCTCTGGGAATGGACCCCTCGCCCCCCAGTTTGAACCGCCACTGGAAATTTGAGCTACGACGCCCCCTAGTGCTAAAATTGTTAACGAATTAAAAGCTCTCGCCCCCAATTCAAACATCCTGACACAATTTTGGTCATCTGGTTCTGGAAACAAATTTTCTGAAATTGAGATGGAAAATTTCAGGCATCGTTAGTGAAAACTCTCCTGACATCTAGGAAATCCTGGTGCTAAAAGATTTTGCTGAAAGATTAGTGCAGAAACCCAACACTCAGATATCGGGTTTCATTGAATTGGAACGAGCAACTTTACCTAACAAGTTAATCTCGTGCCTGGAGTTTGGCTTCGAAACTGGACTTCAATCGCACGTCACTGGAATATTCGATCAAATCATTGGGACTTCCAGAACTTGATTTTTGGTTTCGTCTGGGGCAATCGCGTTCATTTGGGCATTGGGCGTTAAATGATCATCGGCGGTCGCTGTCGTCTCGTTCTCGGCATTTTTTTGGACGTCGTCGTCAATCGGGTATCGCTTTCACCTGGAGGCCGGTGTCGTTGGAAGCTGAATAGTTGTCCTGTTGATCGGTCGGCTCGGTTTTGTTGGCTCAGAGTCGGATTTCATAAAACAAACAACAAACGGCAGTACACAAAAATAATAACAAAACATGTGTTGTCTGTCAACAATGCATCTCTCTAATGCAGTATGCAAACACTGTATCCTGGTCACGGCACCAAATTCTGTGATAACCCAAACTTCCCGCCTCAAAAATTGACCTTGAAACAGTTTGAAAGGCCCGCGAAAAATTCAAAAATTCAAAGTTTGGCCTTGGCTATGATCGTCTAACAAATAGGAACCTACGTTGTGTTTTTTTTTTTTTTTTGTTTTTGAAAAATGGCGGGAAGACGTTCTTTCATACAAGTGCATACACTGTCGAGAGCGCAAGAAATAATAGACAAAAATTGTTTTGGAGGGGGGGAAACGACACCACCCTCACAGGGGGAAATACGCTGCGAAGATTTACCCCTCAGCGCAAAAACCCCCTTGGTTTTATTCCCGGACGACATTTTATTACATTTCAGACCCTTAAGATATGTGAAAGAAAAACACTCGCGAATTGACTGAAAGAAAAACACTCGCGAATTGACTGGAAGAAAAACACTCGCGAATTTACAGACATACACATATGAAAAACGAACAAACGGAAATTCTGTACATCTGTTTGGAATCAATGCAAATATTTGAATATCACAAATTTAATAAAACAAAGCAAAAACTGAATCAAGTAACTGGATGCAAATACACAAGTTATTACAGGCGTGTGGCGGCCGATCTTCTTTCCTTTTTTTTTTTTGTTACGGCAGTTAACAGGAGCACAAGAAAAGTACCCCTGGAGCGTTGTGACATAAGCGGAGTCTGAGCTACCGGTCTGGAACTGTTCTCCCCCCGCGACGGTGATTCTATCTATCGCAAAGCCTACCCCACACGCATATCCCATGACGAACTTTGCCCTGCGGAACTAGGCCATTACGGTCGTCCAACCCGCAAGAGATCTAGGCTATGTACAGGAGCCTAGAAATTTACAACATCGGCGGCCGCCCCTGAATCTATCCAAACCTGTGGACTTGTACAGGTGGCGCGATAAATCTCGCCAGCTCGACTAGGAACCAAACCTCGCTTCTGCCACGTTTTCTGTGTCATTTAACCTCAATTCCATTTTAAAACATTCAATCTCTTACAACTCTGATGTTAACAACAACTGAACAAGTGTTAAAGGTTCAAAGAGCAATAAACAACATTTAAATTCGCCATACAATCTTGTG